CATAGTAGTAACTAGTAGTGTGTTGCTTTAAGTCACAGCAATTTGACATGACCCACAATATTGTCGAAATTGCCCACATAATTGAGGACTGCTGGGCCATGGGCTCACTTTATAGAAATGCTTGAATGAACACTGCAATACAATTATTTGGTCAGTACTCATCTTGATTGAATGGCATATCATGGAATTGCTTCAGGAGATAAGCATCTTTCATAGTTTTTTTTACTTCCAGGAACCTGAAAGAGAAGGAAGTTGAACAAGAAAAGGATTGTGCAGAGAATGAAACCATCATGACCCCAAGCAGTACTCAATCCATGTATGGATGTGATCACTCTCTAATTAGTAATCAGGATGCAGCAATAAGTTCATGTAAAGATAAAGAGGAAGAAGATCGTCCAGTGTTTTCTAATCAGAATGTACCAGGTTATGACGCAAAGCAACATTATTCCCACATCAGCATCATATCAAGATGGATCAGAAACTTCAGCAGCTACTGTAATTCAAGAGGAATTGGAAGAAAACTTGCATGACAATGCTATTTCGTTGGCGGATGATGGTGTAAGCAATTCCTATTATGCAGAAGATAAAGATGCTGAAGGAGACAATTTTCTGCTTGTGGATATGGACTGTAGTGATGACTGTTCCCGATGCTGAAAGTTCTTCAGATGAGTCTGCTGTCTCATCAGAGGAGGATCCATCTTTAGACAATAGCTCACTACTAGGTCCACCTTTGTATGTGTTTCCTCCATCAGATACTTTGCAAAGGTCACCGATATCACATCAACAACATATGCTATTACTGTGTGCCTATGCTATTTCACAAAAATTGTCAGGTGTGGCATTTCAGCAGCTGTTGAATGTAATAAAACTACATTTGCCAGAAAATAGCATTTGTGAAGGAAATGTTTTGGAACTGAAAGAGAAACTGGCAAATGAAGAGATAATTTTTCATGACATTTGTAGGGTTTGTGGAGCTTTATTTAAAGATGTCTTGATGTGTAGAACCCCAGGTTGTGGAGCAAGAAAGATTACAGACACCGACAGGAAACGTGTATGTTTTGCAACAAGCAATTGTGAGGAACAGCTCCGCAATATTCTTCAGAGACATGGAAACTTTGAAAAAATTCAAGAAGAAATTGAAAAGAGGGTCACCGATGCTGACAATGCATGTATTTGTGATGTCACTTCAGGTAGTATGTACAAAGAGTTGTGTGAGCCTGGCAATTTCCTGGACAATGTCAATAATACCCTAAACATCACATTAACCTGGAATACTGATGGAATTCCGTTATTCAAATCCTCAAGTGTTTCTCTTTGGCCAGTGTATCTGGCTATAAATGAACTTCCCCAAAAGGAACGTTTCTTGAAGAAGAACTTTGTTGTTTGGGGAATATGGCAGGGAGACTGTAAGCCATCAATGAACACGTTTCTTTCACCCTTTGTCAAAGATATGATGAAGTTATACAGAACAGGTTTCCCTGTGAATGGAAAGATTTGTCGAGCAATGCTGCTTCTTGGCTCGATGGATCTTCAAGCCCGAGCATATGCCATGAATTTTGTGCAGCACAATGGAGCGAGTAGCTGCCTTTACTGTGAGGAACCTGGCAAAGTTGTCACATCAGGGAAAGGGCATTGTCGGTGTTTTCCATACAGTGATGAAGTAACCATGAGGACAAAAAGTTCAGTGTGCGAAGCTGCTTCTGAGGCAGTGTCAAGTGGGAAGGCTACCCATGGTTTCCATGGGAAAAGTGTACTGTTGTGCTTGCCTTTCTTCCAGCCACAGCAGCATATTGTTATTGACTATATGCATGGAGTTTTACTTGGAATTAACAAGAAACTTTTTTCACTCTGGTTTGATGCCAAGTTCTACAAAGAAGTTTTCTTCATTGGAAACCAAATTGAAGACATAGACCATCTCCTGAAAAGAATCAGACCTCCGTATTTAATAAACAGACTGCCTAGAAAACTGAAGAACAACTATCATCGCTGGAAAGCATCTGAAATTCGTTCTTGGTTTCTGTTCTACAGTATTCCTTGTTTACAGGGCATCCTACCTCATACATACCTTAAACACTTTGCTTGTTTAGTGGAAGGAATCCATCTTCTCTTGATGGAATGCATATCACCGCAGAATCTGGTCAGAGCAAAGACCTTACTTCATGCATTCTACAAGAATTCAACAGATTTGTATGGAGAAAACTTTGCTGGACTAAATGTTCACAATCTATGGCACTATGCAGACTGTGTGAAGATGTGGGGGCCATTATGGGCATGGTCGTGCTTTGGATTTGAATCCTGCAATGGAGAAATCTTGCAGTCCGTGCATGGGAGAGGAAATGTTTGTACGAAATATTTTGGTCACTCCATGCAGAAAAGCAAATAGAACTTGGAATGAAAAGCATGCCAAAAGGACAAGTGAAATCTTACTTCCAGAAGGTGTTGCTTAGTAGCAAAAGAAAACCGCCCAAAACTGCACAAGCATATCAATGCGAGTATATTCCACCCCTCCAAGATCTTGTGGTTGAAGATGACTTGCTGAGGGATATGGATGTCAATAAAACAGAGGTGACAACTGCAACTGAAGCATCCCAAGCCAAGGTTTTGAAGATTGTTCGACATGGTTTTGTCTTCTACAGCAAAGCATGCACAAGAGTAAGGAAAAGAAATTCCTACACAGCTCTGCTCGAAACTCCAGCTGCAGATGGAGGAAGGGCCATCATCATTGACTACTTCCTTGTGAATAAGATGACATATTAAGTGATTTGCAGTTGGACATACAATGCGGTAGTGGGACCAGCATTGTCACGTCAATGTTGTCATATACAGAAAGTGGAACAGATACGTAGGTAAGTTATCTTAACATAATTCATTCAAGAATAGCATGGCCTATGATGTTGGGTGTCCAAGCCACAAAGTGTGAGTTATCTAGGAGGGTCATCTCTGCGGGCAACAAAGTTAATTAAATCTAGATGTTATCTGTGTGCTTTTCAGGGTCTCCAACATCATATAACAGAAAGTTGTTATAATAGTTAATGACTGTTTCTTGCAACATTGGTTTTTAAAAAAAAATGATCAATTGTAAGCTTTTTAATGACACACAATACATCTTGCTGTAGCACCAGTAGACATTTTACACCAAACACTCTGGCAACCCGTCTAATAGTTGTGTAACCGTTTTAATATTTCCTTCCGTACCATTATCAGATGATCAGATCCAAGTAAGTTTTCACAATTGTACTTAAATTATTCCCATGACAAAAAAATATGTACCAGTACATATTCCAACAGTATTTCATTGTGAAATGAAACTGTACCAGAGGCCCAGACAAGATGCGTATCCGGGTAAAATACGTATACAAACTTTCCAATTATGCACTGAAAAATAATTGTTGCCTACCAACTACGCATTTAAACTGTTAGATACGCAGAGAGTTTAAAACAAATGCATATGGAATATACTTATAAAAATCGCTTTCGTAATGAAAAAGACATTGATTGCTATCAATTTTTTTTTGAGCAGGGAAAATTAATTTATTTTTTCTCTTATTCTTGAAGAAATACCTCTGGCAGATCTGTAGGGATGGTGTAAATCCAGCTACGGAAATGTACTGCAAATCCCTATGGTCCCAGTGTGTCCTCCCAAAAGTTAGACGTCCCAGAAGTTAGATGTCCCAAAAGTTAGATGCGTTAAAACAACAAAGGTAATGGTTGGTTGCACTGAGGTTCATTACACTGTTACCTTCGTTAATTACTAGTCCAAATGTACTTATCCAAACACAAAGAGAAGAGATTATGGACAATGACAATAACTCTATTTTATATTGTTTATGTTGGAAAAACAATCTTAGGAAGGAAGTAACTCCATTAGGTTAATGAAAACTCAAAAACAAAAAATCTATGATCCTGTTTTGATCAGAGTGAACATCGTAAAAACAAGCATACAAAATCTCTGATCCTAGTAAGATGCATTTCTGTGTTTCTTATTTGTTAACATAGTTAAACATTTTTCTGGCTCTAATAGGCTTTTGAAATGTCTGTACAGGTTATACCTTGAATTTTCTTCAATTGAACTATTCCATGACATTTAAACATTTGAAGAAACTGGGATTCATTAGCAACACCTTGAAATAACCAAACATAACCAAACCCATATGAAATCAATAAATGACGCACAGATGAAACATAGTTATCATAACCACAATTATCGTAATACATTAGCATATCATAAGCTTTTGTTGGAATTCTTTGTTGATGCATATTTACTAGTTTAAGCCAGTATTTTATGAAACGCTAATGTGCATTTATACACATTGGGTAACGTCAACATTCACCATAAACAATTACATTTGGTGTTCGGGGACCAACATTTAAGAACTTATTACATGCAGTTAAATGTACATTTTAAATCTTATAAAATTTATTAATATCCCATACTTCGGCACCATACAAAAGGATTGGTTAAATTTGGGTATCAAATATTTTGAAAAATACAGAATAGTCAACATTGTCTAATTTATATAAATGGTGTAGTGCTTCTAGAAGTGCCCTTTTAAGATGAATAAGGAATACCTACATATCTATTTGAATCAACTGTTCTCTTTTATAAAACCAGTTTTCATTTCTAGCTATCGGTCCACCTCTTCTGAAAACAACAACTTGAGTTTTCTCTACATTAACTGTCAACATAGTATTCTGATCAAAGTATTTCTGTACCAACCATCTCGTTAGTGTATGGGACAGGTTCATTATATCAGTAGGTGAGACTAGGTTGTAATCAGAGTCACACCTGATTGATTTGTCTGATTTGGATGTATAATTTTTGGGAGTAAACCATCCCTAGTATGGTGATCTACCTTCAGTTGTTGGTGATATCTAATGTGTTTTTATATTGTATTGTCTTCTATAGTTAAAATGTTCCAGAATCACATACTGTGATAATTTAGTTGTTGTCATAATTTAACATTATGTATTATGAGTGTATAACTTGTTTCAGTCATGACATGGCTGAAATTCTGCTGATGTGGCTTGATATGCCTACTCAATCACTGGTCTTGCACTGGTGAATATACAGTGGATGCCCTCTAAACCGGCAGCCTTCCAATCCGGCATGCTCTCAATATCGGCACTAGAATTTGGTCTAGAATTTGTTTAATTTATGATCATTCTCTAAACCGGCACTCCCTTTATACCAGCATTTTTTGTCGCTCCCAATGAGTGCCGGTTTAGAGGGCTTCCACTGTATACTACCCATCAAAAATTTAGACTCCCTAGTGTAAATGTAACAAAATTTTACACCAAAATGCATCTGTTCAAGTGCACGATATTTGCACATGCTTTTAAACAATTTGGTGCACGATCCTCTTACAATTCATCTGCATAAAGTTTGCAGTTGGTTCGCTCTAGTTAGTTGAGAAATTCATCTTGCAGAAGGTAACGGCTTACGAAAAGACGTTAAAATATGGTACTTGTTGGTCCCTGCCTGGCGCTCGGCATTAACAGGTACAACAAGGACTGGTCGGCTGGGAGTCAGTTTAATGTGTCTGAGTGGGGTATTCATGCTTCACTGCGGCATGGTATCTCAGTGGGCTAGCACTATAAAACCAGCTTCAGTCTGGGCTAGTACAAGCAGCCGCAAATACACATACACACGCATGCACATCGTCATATGAGCGAAATATTCTCAAGCACAACGCTAAACCCAATTTCACCTCACGTCACCTTTAAGTGAGTCTACAGTTTTGATGGGTAGTATGTGTCTTAGAATGGTCTTCAGCAAGCCACACTTGTCTTAAGAGACAACTTAAAGGGTGGCCAGGCTCGCTGACTTGGTTGACAAATGTCATCATATCCCGATTAGGTAGATCAATGCCCATGCTGTTCATCACTGGATTGTCTGGTCCAGACTCAACACCACGATCATAAAGCTGTGAAATTGCTGAGTGTGGCCTTAACAAACAAATAATCTTGCTGATCTTGATGGGTCAAGTTGGATCTGTCATATAGCTGGAGTATTACTCCAGTTATACGGAAACTCAAGTTATACGGCAGCAATCTGTAAATAATCGAGTCTGGACCAGACAATCCAGTGATCAACATCATTAGCATCAATTGATAAACGATGACATGTGTCAACGAAGTCTGTCAACTTGACCACCTGATCCCATTATGCTCTAATGACAAGCATGCATTGTCGAAGATCAATTCTAACCCGGATCTTCACAAATCCAACTGTATGGCTACTGTCCAAAATAAAAAGACATATTCCAGTGAAGTTGCTGTGTGAAGATGCAGATGGACATTTTCTGTTTCAGCTGCTGCATTGGCGAGTCTGATCTAAAAACCACGACCTTGAGATCTACCCTGGGGAAGAACACTTTAAAGGTGAGGCATGTTTTTGCTTATTGAAATAGTTTCATGTTAGTTCTGAAAGTTAATATCTTGTTTAAATGCATGCTTCAATGCTTGTGCTGTTGATCAATGGATGGTTTTGTCCAAACTCAATGATTTACAGACAGCTGTGATGTAAAGCTGGGAAATTCCTGCATAGCCTCAAATAACTCAAAGTATTTGGCAGGTCCCTTCAACTTAGATTTACTGGGTCCTTTGTCGACAGGTTTTTATAATATACATCTATTCCATTTCAATGTCACATATGTTCTCTCACGATATGGCTGAAATATTGCCGATGTGACGTTAAATAATAACTCACTCACTCCCTAGATTGACTGGATTGTCTGCTTCATACTAGAATATTACAATATATGACCGTAGATAAGCCGACCTCATAGATAAGCCGACCGTAGATAAGCCGACCTCATAGATAAGTCTGGATCCTAACTTGAACCTTAAAATCAGCATCAAAATGGTAATCATAATCCCTGCACATAACACTGCCCCCAAAATGTAAGTAGAACTGAAAAGGTAAATAATCTTGTTTAGTAATGTTTAATTCCAAGTTTGACATCTTGACCAACAAAAGTAATTTATCTTGTTCTTTCACACAAAGAGATACAATAACATTTTCTTACCACAAGAAATACTAGTTTGATGAAAGTGTGATCCATATATAAGCTGACCCCTTTCTACAGACACCTTTTTTTTGGTCATCAAAATTTTGCTCATCTCCAATCATATACAGTATACTAAATCAGGGTGATTTCATTATTTACTAATAGCACTGGTGGAAAATGGCTGGTGCAGGTTGCCTTAAGTAACAGGTTGCACCTGGTGCAGGTAACAATTAATCCTCATACATCTTGGAGCTGTCATTGTGTGTTTTAATTGGGAAGTAAGTGACTGTAATTAATATGTTTCTCTTTGTCTATTGGATGAGTTTACAAATACAAACATTTGTGTATTCATAAATCAGTAATGCAGCAGTAATGATTTGTGAGTACAACATGTTTATTTCGAGATGTTCAGATTTTTAAATTAAGGTAATGTCATGGGGTCAGGTTCTGAATGTATCTGATACTGAGTACGTCTTATGAAACTTTAGGCATTTATGTTACTTATTATATAACGAGTGGCATTATTCTATTGTCCAACCAAAATTTTGATGGTGCAGCCAAACCCATAAGCCAGGTTGTACTCGGTGCAGATACTGTAAAAAGACAAAACCGTACCCTGCAAATATACCAACCTGCATGAAATAGCTTGTATATTGCTGAGCGTAGCTTAACATAATTGACAAAACTATGATTATTTCCCAGGGAGTGTGGGTGTTCCTGGCCCTAGTTGGCCAGGTGGTGGCACCAGCTGCTCTTTCCAGTGGGCAAATAACAGTTCAAGTGGTTGAGGAACCCACAAACAGGGTGCTGAATGAGTATGACGTCTTCATGATACAAATCTTGATGAGTCGAAGTCTAACAAGTCTGGAGCAGGATGTACCACAAAGCTGGTCCAAAATCACCAGCTATGAAGAAGTATCCTCATCATTACTGACTCTTCAGAGGAAACTTCAGGAACATGATGTGCTGCTGACACTGATTGTACTTGACACACTACCCGAGTTCCTGAATGACGACCTCGTACAGAGAGCCGTGTTAAAGGCTTGGACTACATTAGAAGATGAAGAAGAATTACTGGAAAATCACTTTGAAGAGAAAACATCTCGAAATAAACATGTTGTCCTCACAAATGGTTCTTTTCAAAGCCTCCTGACACAGCTTAAAGGTGAGCCATTTGACAGTGATGAGGTTCATAGTCAACTCCATTCAGCAGATTCCCCAAGCAAACTGGTCATCATTGATGGTGAACCACAAGTTCTGAGGTTTCAAGAATTCCAAATCCTGTTTGGAATTTATGTACAACATACATTGCTGAACCAACAACAACTGATGAAACGAAAACCTCAGCTACCAAGAAGGGCAAATGGACAATCTGGATCAAGTGGTGCAGATATCAGAAAAGAAGCAGCAGCAAAAAGCAAGGTTGTGTTGACAAAAGATGCATTCCAAAGCCTTCTAAAACAGGTCAAACTTGACACATTACAGGATGAAGATCATGAGCCATCTCATAGTCAAGATGTGGAAGTATCTGCAAGCAAAGTAGGATTATCTAAAGGCAGAACTACATCACCTCTCATGCTCCAGAAAGAGTTCCTCAGTAAACTGGTATCGCAGACTATGAACACACTTCACAGACAGTCCACATTGCACGACCAGCTGATGTTCCTTGATGGAGCACTGGACCAGGACTTGCCAGAGAGCCTTGAAGAGACTGAATCACCAAGCAAATTAGTTACCCCTGTGATGTACCAAAGGGAATTCCTCAGTAAAATACTGTCACAAACAATGAACACAATTTACGGAGAGTCAGGATTGCAAGATAAACTGAAGATGTGGGATGCAATGCTGGAGTTAGCATTTCGGAAACGTCTTGAGAACACAGAATCACCAAGCAAACTAATTAACCCTGTGATGTACCAACGAGAGTTCCTCAGTAAAATACTGTCACAAACAATGAACACACTTTACGGAGATTCAGGATTCCTGGACCAAGTGGAGTTGTTTGATGGAGTGCTTGCCTTTGCTTTTCAGGAACATCTAGCAAAGACAGAATTACCAAACAAACTAACTACGCCCATTATGTATCAAAGAGAGTTCATAGCTAAAATACTATCGCAAACAATGAGCACACTTTATGGAGAGTCAGGATTGGGAGATGAACTGAATTTCTTTGATCGAGTACTGGACAAAGACTTACCAGAGAGCCTAGAAGAGACTGAGTCACCAAGCAAACCAATTACCCCTGTGATGCACCAAAGAGAGCTCCTCAGTAAAGAATTATTGCTTACAATGAGCACACTTTATAGAGAGTCAGGATTACAGGACAAACTGAAGGTACTTGATGGAGAAGACTTGACATCAATGGAGCATCCCGATAAGACAGAATCGCTAAGCAAATATAATACCCTTGTGATGCACCAAAGAGAGTTTCTCAGTAAAATACTATCACAAACAATGAGCACACTTTATGGAGAGGCAGGATTACAGGACCAACTGAAGGTACTTGATGGAGAGGCCTTGGCATCATTGGAACGTCCAGATAAGACAGAATCACCAAGCAAACTAATTAGCCCCGTGGTGCACCAAAGAGAGTTACTCAGTAAAGAACTATTTTTAACAATGAGCAAACTTTATGTAGAGTCAGGATTGCAGGAAAAACTGAGGGTGTTTAATGGAATACTGGACTTGGCATCGCTGGATCATCCAGAGAAGACAGAGTCACCGAGCAAATTTATTACCCCTGTGATGTACGAAAGAGAGTCCCTCAGTAAAGAACTATTGCAAACAATGAGCACACTTTATGGAGAGTCAGGATTACAGGACCAACTGAAGTTGCTTGATGGAGAGGACTTGACATCAATGGAGCATTCCGATGAAACAGAATCACTAAGCAAATTAATTACCCTGGTGATGCACCAAAGAGAGACCCTCAGTAAAGAACTATTTTTAACAATGAGCACACTTTATGGAGAGTCAGGATTACAGGACCAACTGAAGGTACTTGATGGAGAGGACTTGGCATCACTGGAACGTCCAGATAAAACAGAATCACTAAGCAAAGTAATTAGCCCCGTGGTGCACCAAAGAGAGTTCCTCGGTAAAGAACTATTTTTAACAATGAGCACACTTTATGGAGAGTCAGGATTACAGGACCAACTGAAGTTGCTTGATGGAGAGGACTTGGCATCACTGGAACGTAGATTAAATAAGTCAGAATCACCAAGCAAACTAATTAGCCCTGTGATGTACCAAAGAGAGTTTCTCAGTAAAATACCATCGCAAACAATGAAGACACTTTATGGAGAGTCCGGATTGCAGGACCAACTGAAGATGTGGGATGGAGTGATGGATCAGACAAAATACACAGTTGCAGCTTCATCTCAAAGCTTCGATGGTCTGAAGCAGGATGCCTGGTTGAGTCAAGAGGTAAGACTTCTCTTATATTCATTGACATTCAAATACTTCCCTTAGAAATGGTTTAGTGGTCAAATAATTATCGAAGAATTTATGTACATTTGTCATGATATCGATAGTTTGAAAGGACAACCAAAGTCAAATGAAAAACAATTACAAATTTCTCTTAAATGCAAAAATGTAGATTTGCTGCAATATGGGTTGTGATCAGCTAATTCACAGAGCAAGCATTTGAACCATGGCTAATTAGTAATACACAATCCCATTTGGATAGTGGCCAAATGTAACATGTTATATTTGGGATAACACTTTCCTAGTAAAGAACAGATTCTCGTACTTTATTGGGTTGAGTCCCATCCAGGATTCGAACCCACATCCTCAAGAGTCAGGGACCTCATTGCCAGCACACAAAGTCACCCGCCTATCCCACCCAGTCGACACAGTGGCTGAGTGGGTTAGACTGCTGACTATGTTACAAATGACTAAATGTGTTAACAAATAGCGCAACAATAAGGTCAGACTTTTAAAAAAATGAATTGAAAAGCAGTGAGGTTTAGATTCAGCCAACCTTTGTAAAATGCTTAAGAAAATGTGATTTAATGGTGCTGTCAACATAAGTAAATTGTATATATGTTGTATTTAAACCTGCTGAAAGTTTATCATAAAAGTTAAAACACAACTAACAAAGATGTATCAATAATTCATGTTGGGTGGGAGGTAACTCTTAACTTGCTTCTTTTTGCATTTCTTCAATCCCACTGGCTTAAGATTTTAGAAAACTTATCAAATAAACCTGAAATCGAATTTTCTTACATGTGTTTTGACCAACTAATCTGAAATTTGGAACCGAAAAGTGGTAACAACCTTCCCCCCAAAATGTCATAACCTAGTCAGTGTCTCTCTGATTATATCTGGGGGCGGTGGGGTAGCCTAGTGGTTAAAGCGTTGGCTCACTCTCTGATTATATCCCTCACATGGGTACAATGTGTGATATACATTTCTGGTGTCCCCTGCCGTGATTTTTCTGGAATATTGCTAAAACCATACTCTTTCACTGTGATCAAGCTTTTTTAAAAAAAAGTAGGGTAACTTCATTTTCAATATACGATTGAACAAATTGTGAGGTATAGATATACTTTTTGAAGAGTAGATACATTTAAGACAACCCCACATGGGAAGTTTAGTATATTTTGGTCCAAATCTAATAGCAAGGTAATGAAAATAGTCCACTCTCAACCTTGCCAAACAAAGCTATGGTAGCAAAATGGGCCTCTGGTAATAATGATGATCAAATATAATAGCTTTATAATGGAGCATGGTGTAATTCATGCTTTTGAAATAAAAATCCTTTTATGAATACAGAGGTACAGATAAGCTGCGTATCTGTGTAAATTACGCAAATATTTATGTGAAAACTCAATTCCTATTAAGTCTATTGTGTACAAGTACGCTTGAATATTTGTAAATACTCAATAAATGTGATCTTACATGCGTACACAAATGTCAAATCTTTGGTGGATTAGATAGAAAAACTAAGGTATATTGAGAGATTCAATTTCAGGACATGAACTTTTAGCAAATTGCAGTCTTTCTTATCGTTTCTCATATCACAGATCAAATTTAGGTAACAAACACTAACATTTAAACTTTATTATGTTTTTAAAATTAAGGGAAAATGGCAAAATACCCAATCGAGGTGAGTACAGTTTATTTGGTTACTCAAAGGAAAATTTGGATACCCAATTGAGATGAAGAAAAGGGAGTACATAACTCAATGACCCAAAAAAGTTATCTGTAGCTCTGTGAACAGCCAAAGGTAGAGATGAAATTATTCCTAATCTGCTACAGCGTTCCCACAAGACCTGGAAAACCTTGAAATTTCACTACCCATTTGTTAGTCTTAGAAAAATCATGGAATTTGAAAAATAGATGAAATCATGGGAAAATCATGAAATAATCATGGGTTTTTTATCTAACAAAACTTTATATCTTAACAGTAATCCGAGGGCTATGGCAGCCATTAACATCTTGGTTATATGTCGATAATGATAGTTAAAGAGTGAAAGAAAAATTGTTACCATTGATATTTCATTTTTATTATGTCATCTTATAAAGAGGTGTGAATGGACCACTGTAAGGGGAGATGGGAGGCCATATTTAAGATACTGTTTTATTTCAGACACAGAAATATATGTTTAAAGGTATCAAATACCCTAGGACATATATTGTTGTGTCTGGAAAAATCAGTATGTGTTTTGAAAAATCATGGAAAATTTTCACAAAAATGTGGAACCCTGTGTAATTTTAAAAGGTCATATCAAAGAAGCCTTTTACAATTTAACAAAAATGTCATTGTTAAAGTAATAAATAATTATTGTGTTCTGGAAAGTATAAGTGAGTTCAGCAAGTTGAAAAAATATTTGCCAGTGTACACAATGTTAGCCGAACCATTGTTTGATTTTCTCCAGGCACTAAGGGGAGGACTGAGGTCAGCTGTTGGGGTCAAGGCAAGTGCTTGTATTATTTCCCAGGGAGTGCGCATGTTCCTGGTCCTAGTAGGGCAGGTAGTGGCACCAGCTGCACTTTCCAGAGGGCAAGTAACACTGCAAGTGGTGGAGGAACCCACAAGGGAAGGACTGAGTTCAGCTGCTGTGGTCAAGTCAAGTGCTTGTAAGTACTGCAGATATCTCTGTCCAGTGTGAATTGTGAGTCAAAATTTTACGTCACTTCAGCAGTTTTCCACACATATCGTGACAACAAAACATTTTATGCTGAAAATAAATACATTAATATTTTTTAAGAAGCTGTTAGCAAAGGAGAGAATAACAACTACATTATCACAGTTTGATTAAAACTAATATGAGATCACTTCAAAATGCTAAATCAGTTGTCAACAGTGTTTCCGGTCTCTGGTATATACCTGAAAATCGCCGGTAAAATTCGTTTGGGACCGGTAAATTGAAAGCCAGCCGGATGCTGGGTCCAGTAAATAATCATGTATTAAAATAAAAAATTCATGGGTAAGCAAAATCACAGTCTTGACTGTGCTTTCATGGTCGCACAAATTGTAATATTTCGGAAATACCAAGGCTAAAAATAACTTTAAAATGAGTACTTACAGTATGGCAATAAGACATGTCCGGCAAATTTAATTCATGACCGGTAAAATGTTAGGTTGCCAGACACAGTGTCCGATAAATAATTTAGTCAGCGAAAACACTGTGTCAACAATACAATATAAAAACAGGCTGTAGATCTCCATCAACTGAAGGTAGATCACCATACTGGGGACTTACAGGACTTTTGCTTCCTGCATGGACCCTAGCTGGATTAACACCACAGGATTAACTGCTAGATGTCCTGTAAGTCCCCATGGTCCCTAGTATGGTGATCAGTTTGTTAGCAATCTACACCCAGTTTTTGTATTCAATGTCTTCTATAGTTCTGTGTTTCAGATTTATATACTGGTTTTATATTGTAATCTGTGTTTACTGTCCTTCATTGACAGGACTTTAAAATTGAAAAATATTTACTGTGTATTTAGGTATTGTTTTAGTACAATATGGCTGAAATACTGCTAATGTTAATTTCAATTTTAACTCACTCTCACTACCAACACAAACAGAAAATACAACACAAGCAGATGTAGTATTTGAAACAGTGTTGACCAAGCTTTCTGCCAAATATTGACCTGGTTATTGACCTGGCAACTAAAACCTGACTGGATATCATTGCCTGGGTTTTTGTTTTCACCATGTGATCAGAACTCAATCTTTATTACCAGAAAAGTGGATATTTCAGGGTTCGAAATACCCCATATATTAGTGTGCCATGGCACGGTAATTATTGAAATGGCACGGCTAAAAAAATGTTCTCGGTGCCCTTTTGACACGCCTGATTTTTCAGAGACATAACTCACATTTAGTCATTTAATCCCCAAAACAATTATTTTTTTCCAAATTAAATAATACCATACATATTTGAATGCTCATAAACCAATTTCTTTATTTAACAATAAATTTCAAATGATCATCATCATTGTCATTTATTCTAAAAACATGTGGACATACTCAATTTCTGAAAGGCATTGCTAAAAAAATATTTGTCTGGTGCCCTAAGGCACACTTAGAAAAAAAAGTATTTCTATCCCTGATATTTTGAAAAATGCATATTATGCTGTTTTCCTCACCACTATAAGGAGCATTCCTTGTTATGGACATTTTTATCTCTTTTTTTTTTATTTATTAAATTAGCATGATGTTGAACGCAAGATGTATTGTTTAAATACTTTTACAATTTTGACCATGGTTAGTGATTTCCCTTTGACCATGCTAATCAGTTATATAAAAAGGCATATATATATACTGCTCTGTAAACTCTGTTAAGTCATTGACCCGTAAAGGACCGGGTTAGAATATTGGCCTTCAGTAACCCATGCTTGTCGTAAGAGGTGACTAACGGGATCGGGTGGTAAGGCCCCCTGACTTGGTTGACACATGTCATCTCATCCCACTTGTGCAGATAGGTGCTCATGACGTCAGTCACCGAATATTTTCACACATGCCTGATTATATACAGACCGTGATACGGCTGTAACATTGCTCTCACCACCCCACACCAAACCACCATTTGAATTCACATCTTTCTATTATTTTCAGCTCCCTACAACTGTAATTATAAAAAACCTGCATACTTCACGTTGAAATGCGTTTTTTTTTTAATTTCCAGCCTGTAATTATAAAGAAACCCACCAAGTAGTCCAGCTGTACACAGACTCGTGTTACAGGAGGTCAGGCAGCTTCACACAACGGATGGCAGGGTTGGGGGGTTTATGGTATGACAAACTGAAGTATCATGTATTTAGTACTGCTTATTCCAACCCCCATAAACTCCATAATAACGACCTGGAAATGTTGGCCATTTTAGTTGCTTTAAACCTACATGGTAGAGACTGGCAAGGTATGAATGTTGAAGCGTATTGTGATAACGAGTCGACAGTTAAATTACTTAATGCATATTGTGACGATACATCCTTAAACGTGTTAAAATGTAAGAGTAGGAATCGAAAACAGAGGAGTAGTAAAATTCAAACTTTTATTATTAATGAAATTAATGAAGAAGTATGTAGGTATAAATTTAGGTTATCTACCATCCAAATTGGTGGGAAACAAAATTGTCGAGCCGATATGTTGTCAAGACGTGGGATTGAGGAGTTTTCATCTCATCTCCCTCGGGGTGCGCGATATTGTGAATATAATGTTATGGCTGAACTACATTCCTTCGATCGAAGTCTGGAAAGTTGGATGAAAACATTTTGATGATGTATGTGGATGTGTATGTGTATGGATGAATGTTTGATGCAGCAATCTGGAGTATTGCAGCTGTGGTATGTTGTGAGTGGGTGGGTGTAGTGAACGTGTGAGTTTAGTTTTACGCCGCACTCAGCAATATTCCAGCTATATGGCGGCGGTCTGTAAATAATCCAGACAATCCAGTGATCAACAGCATGAGCATCAATCTGCGCAGTTGGGAACCAATGACATGTGTCAACCAAGCCAGCGAACCTGACCACCCAATCCCGTTAGTCGCCTCTTACGACAAGCATGGGTTACTGAAGGTTCATTCTTGGGTTGGATGGGTGTAATATTGGCACCGTAACGTTGGTGAGTATATTGTGAGTAGGTGGATGTATCTTTTGTGAGTAGATGGGTATACTGTTTATGAGCAGGTGGGTGTATCATTTGTGAATTGATGAGTGTATTGTTTGTGAGTTGGTGGGTGTACTGTTTGTGAATTGATGAGTGTATTGTTTGTGAGTTAGTGGGTGTACTGTTTGTGAGTTGGTGGGTGTACTGTTTGTGAGTTGGTGGATGTATCATTAGTGAGTTAATGGGTGTGAGTGAGTGAGTGAGTATGGTTTTACGCCGCTTTTTAGCAATATTCCAGCAATATCAGGGCGGGGGACACCAGAAATGGCCTTCACACATTGTACCCTTGTGGAGTTAATGGGTGTATGGTGAGTGGGTGGGTATATCGTTAGTGAGTTGATGGGTATTTGGTGAGTGAGGAATGTATTGTTTGTGAGTCTTATTTTTCTTTTCTTTACTCTATAATTATTCTGGATAAGAACTTGATATTTTTATACATAAAGTATTGCAAGTCATTGCAGTGAGTAAATTTAGTCTTACGCCACTTTTAGCAATATTCCAGCAATATCACGGCGATGGACACCAAAAATGGGCTCTACACACTGTACCCATGTGGTGTGAGGAGTGAACGCTTTAACCACTATGTTAACCAACCGCCCTGCAAGTCAATGCAAAAATAATACCCAGTCATGACTATCCTGAGAAACAAATTCCATTGGTGCACAGGGAAAAGTAGCCATGAAAATTATATGAATGGATCACTGACAATCTGGGACGACACCAGGTGTTCGCAAAAAGGGTAAGCATGTCATGCCCTATCGGTAGCACCTGTCATTCACAAAATTTGCTTTTAAAGCTTTTTTGCCTGCTATTTGAAAGTGGCCTATAAACAAACCAGACATTCTAGCACGACATTGTGTGATAGTCGATTCTGATTGGCTGAGAGCTTATCAAGACCGTACTTAAATGGCAGTTTAAGACCGCTAATTAAAGTGACCGATTTACCGCGTATGAATACAACGAACTCGTTGACCCTGTAGTGATCAGTGCTTCCACACTCGTACATCGGGTAACATTGGATTGGCCATTTGATGCTGCTCGTATGTTTCCGGGTGTGATCGAGGCACGTGATCAACTTACCCGCCAAATCTGACAGGTGACAATTAGCAGATCAAGACGAGACACAGAACCGAACGGACGATAATCACACTATACCTACAGAACCCTTGATCTCCCCATCATCTACGCTTACTAAGCAAGGTAAGCGCCTTTCCCTAGCACTAGGCTTTCACAACAATGGCGCTGTGAACAGGATTAAGCCTTTGTGAAATTTGTGACAAGAAAGATATGTCGCACGACAATGGGAAAGGACTGATGAATGGGTCACGTGATGTCCTTATATAGAGCAAAACTTCGCTGTATGGAGCGTTTTAAGCTTTTTCAATGGCTAATAGAGTAAAAACCCCAATGCTCTTTAGTTATATATTTATCACTTTTCGGCCGTAAACAAATTCATCGCAATTTAAAATACATGGTAATATCAAAGGGTGTTGATGTATCCACTATCCATGTGCTTGTTCATGTCAACCGCTGGAAGCTGCATGCCTCGCGACCCGCGTATTACGTGTAAATTTCATGGTGTTGATTGCAGTGTTGCGATGTACCTAGCTGTCAATCACTGTCGCTGGATACATGGCAACGCTGTAGCAACGTTCACATGGCTTTGCGTGGTTTGTATTTAATCAAATTTCTGTCAACATATTTATATATGTGTAGTGTTACCAATATGTATCCATTTATATTAGTATTGTATATATTACATGTATTTACATTAATGCACGTTATAAAGTGGGTAAATATTCTGCAGGTCTTTTCATTGATGAATGGGTTAGCAGGTATGTATTCACTGTGCATTATTGTTTAATACAAGGCTTTAGGTTGACACTTCTGCACTCAGTTATTCTGATGACTGACAGCGGTCAACTGTCACCTAAGTCTGGGGTTATAAGTTATGTGTATTAGGTTTTTATTATTATACAAGGTTTTAGGTTGACACTTCTGCACTCACTCACTCTTGTCAAGACTGACTGACAGCGGTTAACTGTCACCTAGGCCTGGTGTGTATATTATTTGTTTATTATTTACGTCCATTTGGTAAGTGTGGTAGCTTGTTCAATATGTTAGTGTTTATTTATTTGTCATTTTTATAATCATGTTTATGCCATGCATGAAATATGATTGTGTTATATTAGCTTAGGTCAAACGTTAGATTGTGCAAGTGTTTCACCCTAATGTGGCCAGGTTGCATTTCAGCATTGGACTACTGACCGCATACAGATTATTCTTAGGTATGCCATTTGCCATAGTTTACAGCTGGTACAGTTCTGTTATCTTGCCTGCAATGTTGTGTGTGTGCATCTGTAAGTCTGGTAGTGTTAGGTAAGGGTAGCTTACGCTTAGCGGCTGAGTTGTTTGTCCTCCGGGGAACGATATCGTTCACTTGGTTCTGGTTTGTGAAGCCTGTAAGTCCATCTGTAAGTCTGGTAGTGTTAGGTAAGGGTAGCTTACGCCAAGGGCTGAGTTGTTTGTCCTCCGGGGAACGATATCGTTTACTTGGTTCTGGTTTGTGAAGCCTGTAAGTCCGGTTGCTGACAATATGCCGTCCCACTTTAATGCTCTGTCCTTCATACTAACGGCAACATTCTACTGGTCCGCAGTCAGTATATTCGCAACGTGGGAGCATTCTTCACGATCAACTGGCTCTATCCTTCTTCGGACAATGGGCATCGCAGTCTGCTGCCATTGCCTCGCCCTGTCAGCAACGTGTAGCACAGTGTTGTTTGGGTTGGTATCAGTTCTCTATCGGTGGTAGCTGTGGTTGATCGTATGTCTCGGTCTTCTGCCGCCATGGTCTCTTTTGCTCAGGTGTAGACTCGTCACATGGGCTGTAACCTCCACCTTCTATCCTTTGACATATATAGAGTTTGTCTTATCCATAATATTGGCAACTCTTTAGCTAGGTTAGTTTAAGGGTACACAGCTACCATATAAGTACCCATAGGTCAGCTTGGTCTTACCTCAGGTTGTAGTATAAGAGCAAGAATACTGCAGGGAAGGCTCGACACTTATGTTCCTTTCCAACTGTATTCGCTCCAAAAATGGGGTTATTTATAACTTGTACTAACTTATCATATATTAAGTATGGTTGTTGGATTATTTCAGATAATCCAATCATGCCACCAGTATTTGTTAATCTGTGCTCTGAGGAGGAACTCAGGCTTATTCCGAATAGGGATGAAACTGGCCCGAAAATTGTGGAACTCAGAGAGACCCTCGGTGTACTGGACGGAGGAGGATTTCCGTGATCTCCCTCTATCAGGAACCCTGAGCAGGCTCTTAGCCCATCTCCTTCGCTGTGGAATATCCTGGTATCTCAACTGCAGGCTCTTGGTATCCGAGGATGGTGGAGCAACAGGCTTCAGGGCAAGCTGCACCATCCACATCCAAATCTAAATCAGTTTTGGACAGTTTACCCCTGTCACCGGCTGGTACACCAGGTAGATTGTCCGATACTGATCCAAGGTTCCAGAAACCAGTCACCAGTACTGACGCTGATGCTATTCAGTCCAACTTAAGACAGTTGGAATATGCGGAAACCAACTTGCAGGCCAGGGCGTAGAGGACTTACTCCACAGAGTCATAGTGCTCTCTATGACCAGTGGCAGGCGGCCTCTCATGATTTCAACAGGGAAATGGAAGCTTTTACTGATGTTCTTGCCAATCTGGGAGCCAGTGGCCCTAAAGATCCGGTATCTGGCCGCCTTGCCAAGGCACCCATGCTTAACCCTCATTCTGTGGTACATGGTATGGACGTGTCACGGCAGAGTTCAAGGACAAAGCCCAATACTGAGGAGATCGACCCTCGGTCCTCCAAGGTGCTGATGGGAATGTCCATCAGAGACATGCTCTAACCCCTGGGTATAGGGAACGGAGGGGGACAGGCCAAACAAAAAAAGAATGGCCCCTCAACCAATCCTATTTAACTCAGCCCAGGGGAAAAACACACGTGAAACCCCATCCACCCAAGGGACAGCTAGATCCAAGTCCCATCATCCTCAAGCTGTACGAGATGACAGTCTACTTAGAGAGGGCATCGAGAAGCAGGGAAATCTCGATAGAGAATCAGAAGGAGATGAATATCTGTTTAAGCTGAACGGAGCGACCCCGCTGGGCCTCCGACTTCCAGTACCCCTGCTGGGCCTAGAGAGGAAATGTATCTGGAATCTGGGACAGAAGATGGTTTGTCAAGATATACAGAGGGGGTACCCTAGGATTAACCATGCCTTAAGGGATTATCCTGTATATGGAGACACACATGACCATTCGTATGGTAGCCATCAACGTTCCCGCTCCCAAAGGTCTCAAAGATATGGAGACTATATCGACCATGAGCCAAGGGAGTATTATTCCATAGAAGGTCCTAATCGATGCCGGGTGGATGCTACACATCCTGTGGCCCGCAAGCCAATCAGTTGCGGGGAACTCCAGCCACTCCGAGATCATTCTGGATATTTTGCTGATGGTCTCGCACCTGTCCCCAGAGATAGGCAGAGGATGTGTAAACCTCTACGTAACGCAGAGGGTAGACAGGATTCAAAGAGCTCCTCATCGCCATCAAGCCGCCTGGAGAGAACCGTTAGGCTACTCTTCGGATAGCGACTTGGATGAGGTTCAGCCTAAACATATTGGGAGGAAACATCGAGCAGATGGGGATAAACCAACAGCTTCACTGCCGCGGATG